GGAACCGAACTCTGTCCATCTCTCAATTTTCTGCTGAGCTACTGATGCTGTTGCTATGTTGCTTTTGCTTCATCAGGACTTTCCTACAGTGGCGCACCCCCTATCATCCAACATCATCCAACAGTCGAGTCACATAAAACCACGCCATTCTTCCACATCTGATCCGTCCGGACTCCGATGCAGGCAGCATCTGCTGGCACTCGGCCAGCTGGCGGAGGCAGCCGGAAGGACACTTGAACCTGGCAGGGCTCGGATGGCTCGGGGCGGGGTCTCCGTTCTCGGCACCCTCACCCTCCCACTCGACAGATCAAAACAAGGAAAGGCTTGCGTACTTCGATTGGAAAGATGTACCTTTATGTCTTGCCACTCGCGCATGCCGATGAGGGTCATGGGTCCCCTGGAACCTTTGTCCGTCCAGCCGATGGGAAGGAGAGGCACCTCAGCAACTCCACCCGTGGCGGAAAACAGTGGATTCAAGCAGGTTTTCGGCTGGTCGTTGCAGCGCATGCTAGAGTAGCTTAAGAGTAGCTTAAACCCCATGCTCTCAGCTCTAGTATATTATAGCATTCACAGGCTATAGCAGCAGCCGGCGCTTGGGGCCAGGCCATGGCCCAGGTCTGAAGGCTGAACATGACCGAACCCTGGACAAAAGTCGACAAGGCTGTCGGCCCCAATCCGAAGATACTGGTAGAACCATCTGGAACCCCTCCTCTCCCCACTTCTTGGACTCTTGGACTTGGGCGCCATCTGCTTCAGGCTCCGCTTGCCATCCTCTACTCGGTGGATCTCGAAGGACCCGATCTGGTCGGCAAACCACCTGGCGACAGCCCCGTGCAAAGCGTTTTTACTTGGATCTGCAGCCCGATGCACTGCAGGCACCTGGCATTCTGCGAATCTACCGAGCTCTGGAAGTCGTCCGCATAGTCCAAAGGGAAGGAAGGGGACGATGGCGGAATCCCTTGAAAGCTTCCCTTCTGACCAGTCTTGATTGTGGTCACCGTAATCATTGCACCAACCGGGACCTTGAGCGAGAACTTGCCGTTAAGGACCTGTACTGTCGAATGCTTGAACACGGACGGCTCCGCATCGTAAGACTCAAAGTTGGAATACCTGGGCACGACATGGCACGACTTCTTCGAAATGCCTGTCGCACTTGGAAGCACACAGTCGGCTTCGCATGACAAGCGCATGAGCCTATCAAGCTTGCAGGGAGGATGCCAAATTTCCAGCTTGTCTGGTGGACGCATCGAAGGAGACAGCAAGACTGTCAAGACTTCCTCAAGTGCAGCCGACTTTTTGCGCATGCACCAGCACAGCGCGGATTCAGAGCCTCCTCGACTTGGAAGTTGGGTAGCGGAGGCCGGGTGCAAGAGGCGTGGTCGCCTCAGCCACCAAAACTTCGCGGACGGTCCTACGGCCTACGGCCCGAGGGCAAGGTTCCAAAGCAAGTTAGGGCCCCACGCGAGATTTTCACAAAGTTCATAGTAAAGTCGTCCGAGGAAGGATCCACCCACGCAGTGTAGTACCCTCCGTGCGGCAGCTCGCCCGACCCGGAGCCGTTGGCGAGATACCGCCATCCAACCTTCGTGAATTGGGTGACGTGCCTCAGCAGATATGTCTTGCTGAGAGGCTACGCGGCTACCTGTCTCACCCCAGAAAAACGAAGTGGTTTTGGCCCGGCGGCGCCGTCGCCCAAATCACCGGGTTCACCTCGTAGTGGCCGCTCCAAGGTTCGACCGACGTCATCATGGAGCTGGCATACCAATCGGTACCATGATAGTAGGCACCTGCCACCATGCATCCGCCGCAGTCTATCACAGTCTGCCAACCCATGCGGAAATATTTCAGGCTACTCGCGCCTACCAGGTTCCACATAATGGAGGAGGTCATCCTGACGGCGTCTCTGCGGTTTTGGCTGCCCACAAGTTAAGTTATAAATTCTTACGAATGCTTCCCCAAACCATGGTTTGCAACCTTTTGGGCAGGAGCAGATTGGTACATGTACATGTGAAGAGGCTTCTTTTCCAGCGAACAGGCCCCTGGGCCTCGTCGGGAGAGCCCCGCACCAAGCTATACAAAGTGGTGACTCTAAACTGCCGACCCGTGATGTTCCCCGAATACCATGGCAGCAAAACAAGTCACAGGCACATGAAGTGAATCAGGGAATCGTCAATGCCAGGCGGCCTGTTGATGACCCAATGTGAATTGATCACGCGTCCCCAGCAGGCAGCGCCGTTCAAGTCATCGTAGGACGAAGATTCCTCTGAAGCCCAGACAGGCTTGCCCAGCTGACGACATGCCTCAGATATCCAGAAATACTGGCCGCCACTAGACGGGGCAGTGTTCCTACATCTCCCAAGGAATGCCCCACCAACCAAAGGCACATCGTGCCAGTCCGCCCCAGCCGACCACACTCTACGAGCAAAGGCGGACCTGATCATTCTCGACACGACATGGCTCCGTGCGAGTAGATAATATCTTCCGGTCCTCCGTTCTTGCCCGGGCTCATGGTGCTAAGTTCGGCCAATCGCGACAGAGTTCCGTTGCTTCCAGACACAATTTTTAGCGCGAAGCCCCGGTCCTACTCGCGCGAGAGTTTGTCAGATGTAAGCGGCACCGTGTGAAAAAGAAGCGAAGGGTGCTCCACTATTTCGTTTGACAGTGGGCTCGACGACCTTTGCAAGTTGGATGATGGTTTAGTCACAGTCAAGACTCAAAGAGAAGCCAAGCAACACGAGCCAGAAGTATCCGCTAGTGGATGTTTGGACAGCACGGCATAGCAAGCAGCAAAGCATTTGCAGAAGTCGTGCGCAATTCATACAAGTCGCGAAATGCGAAAAGGAAGAGGTTTCCGTTCTAGTCGACTAGTCGGCGAAAGAACTGGAGGGGGGCAGAGTCAAATGCCAGGTCACCGAGAAATCTGCAAAGTCACTGGGATAGTGCAGACCCACTATGTCCACAGCATCCGCATAAGCCTTGTCCTTCAGCAGGTCGTTGCAAATATCCAGGGTGCCGTCCTTAACCACCAGCTTCGTTCCTTGGGTCCGGCTGCAGATAACGCCCCTGGGCCCGCAAGCACTACAGGCGAGGCATGTCCATTTTGGCTGTAGTGCCGTGCCCACGTGAACCCATCTTGGCTTGCCTGCAAGCTTCCAGCGAAGCCTGCCTGGTTCAGAGTCTTCCTGAGGACCTGCACCTGCGGGCAAGGCTCTTTATATCAGCGGGTCAACAAACACTGATCAAGTACCGCCAGCACCGGAAAGGGCATGCTCAAGCGGATTGCTGGCTCGGACACCAATGTCATCTTCGTTGAGATGAGGCACGAACTTGCTGTCGGAGGCGCGCTCATTCCAGATCCCCAAATAATCAATATCGAGCCTAGCTGGCCAGCGCAGCGTTGAACACGTCCCTCAGACTGATCCTTTAGTCATTCACATGCAGCCATGCGGCCCGTATTCCGTCTTTGCCCCAGCAACCCATGCCACCAGGTATCGTGCCGTTCGCTCCGGAAACTTGAAGGGGTCGCCAGAGCCCTCACCGACCCAGCCCGGAAACGCCCAGGCAAGGCCGTACAGCTTGATCTCCGGATTTCGTTTTTTCGCCTCTCAGAGTCGCAGACGGCTTCAAGCACAAAGCACGCAAGCCAAGCAGGCCCAAGCCTCCTGCATGAGCCACCACCTCAGTGAGAAGCTACTTCAAGGCTACTTAGCAACTGTTGTCTGAAAGTCCTTCTGAGTCAGAGCCGCTCATAGCCAGTGTGGAGGTCGATGGTGTCGCTGTCGTGCATATGAGACGACTCTGTCCCATCCGTCGACTGCGAGTCGCCCCCGATCTCCACCTCCAGGCGTGTTCAACACTGGAAGGCGACGGCTACGCTGCGTGGCTATACCATGCTATGCCATACCAACACGGAGCATGCTTTGCCTTCAGGATCTGCAATGAGGCACCGAAGTTGGGCTTGAACAGATAATCCAAGATCTGGGAGCGCGATGGCTCGGCGTAGTGGGGAAGCAGAACCTCGATTTGCTTATGTGATTTGTAAATGTTTGTGCAACAGTGACCCTGGCGACAGAAACGAAGACATTTGACGTTGTGCAAGCCAGCACAACTCCACATGTGCCGGGATGCACTAGTTGCACCACCTCCGCTCAAGCCTCCAATGCCATCAAAAGTGGCCGATGCGTGCGCGCGATCCACCACAATCCTTGGCTGTTGAAGAGTTTGCTGCGTTTTGTTCTTGCACATGCAGTAACTTGGGATAAGTTGCCGAATCGAAAAGTATTCGCAGGAGAAGGCTCGATCGCAACAGCTTTGGACAAGCTTCGGTGCTGCAGATGCTTGGACAAAGGCTGCGAAACACAGTCCAGCCAGGCAGAAAACCTCAGCACGCCGCCAGAAAGACATTGCCTTAAACTACCACCCGCGGCCCGCGGGTCCTCTACGCCAGGGCGGCTGGAGCCAACAAGAACATGTTGCTTCAATTTGGTGCAGGTTGAAGATTTCTGGTCGTCGAACCCCAATTGAAAGGATCCGAATGCCCAACCGTCTCACCACCCAGGCAAACAACAGTGGCTGGCACATTGCGAACTGTAAACTAGGAAGGGTTGCATTTGACGAAGCTTGTGTCTTTGGCATTCGCGTGCAAGGCCTTAGTCGCCCGACCTATCTTTCGGTCAAGCACAGATCCGGCCTGGATACCTACTGGCAGCGTGCAGGCATGCTTAGCATGCCGCGCTGCGTGAGTGCCGCTGTTCGGGAGCTGTCGCAGCTGCTGTCGGATGGCTTTAGGGCTTTAGGAGCGCATGTGGCAGTACTCAAAAGCCACTAGCGGTTTCCTCCATTGCCGCTCCACGGCCCCCGTTCCTTCGAATTCCTAGCATTCGCGAAGCTTGCTACTTGTCTCGGTCTCAAACACCGAAGAGCAGTTGGCAAGGTGCGGATGTGGTTGCATGGTTGCTGAGGCATGTGAGAGGGATTGCTTGGTTCTGTCGGGCTCCCCTCTAAGCTTGGGCTTGGCCCTCATCTTCAAAGCAGCCTGGTGGTGCCGGCGCTTCCTCGCAGGGGCTCCGGAGATCAGAGACGGGCTGTCCGGCAAGCGCTAGAGCCGCTAGGACTCAGGCTCTTCTTAGGCTTTGCTATAAGTTCCCGATCGCAAAATCCCTGGAGTCCTCAGAAGCTGTTGGAAGATCTGTCTTGAAGCCCTCGGCGAAGCTCTCAAACTCTGGGCTGGATACCGGCGCTTGGACGGGGACGCCGCTGTCCTGCTCCCCACACAGACACAGACAGGCAAAAACGAAGTTAAGCGCAAAGGCCGATTTCTCCTCCTGACAGGCGCAGTTTCCTATCACAAGCCGAGTCACCAGCTGCGGCTTCGGCACCAAGGCCTCGGCAGGCGATCCTGACCACGGCAGAGTCTCAGGCCATGCTACACGTATGCCCGTATGCCCTAGCCCAAATCGAAGCTTCCACCTGTCTTGCACCTGATTGCCAATGTCTGTCCAAAAGGAAGCCTGGATCTTCCGCACGCGAAGGCCCGGAGCTGGCGCCTGAGGCTCAAACCGCCGGAAATTGGACGCCGAGCTCTTGCAGCTTCCCTGCTTCCCTTTTAGTACAACGGATGTCCGGATCGCATGCACACATTGAAGGCCAGAGAAATGGCCGCGAAGAGCAGAAAGCAAAACACCGAATTTGGGCAGCCCATCGTTGGGGTGGGCACCCTTTGGTTCGACGCGCAATGGATTCTGGATGATTCTGGGTTGACTACTTGGGCCTACAGGACGCAAACATTCACCCTCCGCCAGAACATTCTGGGCCTTCGGGAACCCCGCTCCCCACCAGGTGCATAGTAACGGCATCGTACCTGTGATAGACGACACGACCTGCTCTCAAGTCCAGCGAACATAAGTTAGTGAGTCAATCAGTTCGGGTGACGCCACCCTCGAGTGACGGAATCACTACTTTGTGAGGTTGCTCGCATGGCTTCGGCGTGGCCTCTTAGCAAGCTGTGGTCTCGCTCTTAGTAAGTGTCTTAGTAAGCTTTGGCTCGGCTTTGCTCTTGGGGGCACTGCTGCTGTTTCTGCAACAGGTTGTCTCGGTTGGTAGAAAGCCAGAGATAGGGAGGGAGTCCCCCCTCCAGGTACCATTGCGAGGGGTGTCCGCATGCGGGTACAGTACCCTTCACCTTCGGTCTGAGCCATGTGGCATCAGAACTTACATGAGCCATGTCGTGGCTGGATCTTGCCGCTTACATTAAAACAATGCGCGCCCCATCCTCAGAGATTCTCAGTCGCCTCTCTTCCCCTGCCCTCCCCATCGTCATGCTTCCGACATGTTGAGTGAATCGAAAGCTTGGGCTGACGGAGTGCTGAGGCTGCAACTTGGTAAAGGCGGCAACGCAGGAGCATCAGCTGCCACGACCAAAGTCGATGCCTCACAGGATGCTGTCAGCAAAGCTCAGATGCCCACTAAACTTCGAAAATGCCTCCGGCTTGGCCGGCTGGGCTTCGGCCTCTTCGGGGGACGCGCTTGGCCTGGCGAGCTCTACTGCGGCCCTCGCTGCGCGACACAGCCACCCACGAAAGGCAAATTGATTCAAAGCCGCACAATAGTTCACAGATGTTAACACTTAACATCTTCAATGGGTCTTCTTCTGCTCAGCAGGTCTCTGCTGCACTGCGACACACTTTCACGTCACAGTTTCGCCAGAAGTACCAACAGATCACGGGTGCCCTGCCACAACGCACGTGTCTGCCTTCCGCTCGAATGTGCCCGCCAGGTGAGCACTCTGCGCTGCACTGCCAAAGGTCCAAAGAATGATCACACGGAGCCCTCATGCGCTTTGATCTTGTCAAAATCGTGCCGAGGGAATGAAAAACAAAGCAATTCGTGTTTCCTGTGCCTTCCGATCGGTTTGGGATGGTTTCCTTTGCTAGGACCAGGGGTTCAGCAAGAAATTTGGCTGGGGGTTGTACTTGATGCTTTTGAAGGCCTGCGAGCATCGCCTTCCTGTCGCTTTGTGAGTTGTCAATTTGTCGGTGTGCTCCTTTCGCGCGTTGTCATGTCGAGCCGAGAGCCAGACATTTAAGGGCACTCCAGAATGCACGCAAACGGTAGAGAACCGCGGCAGGCATGACTGCGTCCGTTTCGCACCAGAAGGTATGACTGCCTAATATAATAGTAACACAAACGGAGCTTTCCTGAATCGGACAAGAGCAAACCTGACTCATGGAGTGAGCCGGATAAAGCCCTGGAAGATTTAAGGCCCGTGCTCATCACTTTCTGGAGCCGGTGCCACTCTGGATGACACCGCGGCCTCCACGTCTTCTGCCTGCACATCTGCCCATCTGCACACATTGCCGAGAGCAAATGCAGAGCTTCTTACCGACAGGCCTTGTCCTTCTTCCCCTCGGACTTCTTCATGTTTGCATAGGCCAGCCCGGCCATACACAGCAAGAACACGATGATGGCAACTGGCATCAACGTCTCGACGCGCGCTCGGGCGGCCTACTAAACTCATCCCTCCCCCCTCCCCCGGCCTATGATCAGGGCCACACTCGGCGGCTCTTCCACCACGGGCACGAGTTCGAGTCTGTAAACCACGGTTGCGGCGATGAGTTCTGCTGCACTGGGAACCGCTGAACACTTGAGGGTTCCCTTGGCTCTCAGAATCGTCTGCACGCAGCCAATGAATAGAACGTCTTCCCCCGTCAAAAAAGAACGACACTCGGGCAGGCAAGCTGCGGGAAGTGAATCAGAAATCTGCCGCCAAAGCCCATCTGTTGTCCATTGCTCTGCAACGGCATCGAAAACAATGCAGGCAGGCTGGTAAGCATACCTGAAGATTTGCGACAAAAAAGAAAAGACCCACGGAACGAAGATCGGTGGCGAGGTGGCGAAGCTTTTGCATCTAAGACTCCCTTCCAAAGCGGGTTCCGTTGGGAACTCGGGCAGGGGCAAGTCCAGCACAATCCGACCTCCGGTGAGGCTCGCAGCCGAGTGTGCGTCAGTTGCACTACTAATGGGGCAACAAACGAAGCCGAAGAATCAGGAACACACAGCCGAAAGGTGCCTGTGATGTTGAAGGGCGAACCACACCGTCGCATCTCAATCCTTGGAGCACGCAAAAGCACCCCAAGAGTAGCTCGGAATGTGCTGTCGCCTTATGTCGGCTTCTTTCAGGCACCTTACCAGTAGGGGCGCATCCGAGATGTGGTCACGAGAACAGGTTTTTGCCACCTTGCCCCTGTGTTCAGAACCAGGCCGTGGATTCACATCTGATTGGAAATCCAGCTTGTGCATCCGGCATCCGGCCAGGCGTGAACGTTTTTGTGGCAGTGAGCGCGGAAGTACAAAACTTGGCCGTCTTGGCTTGCAAATGCGCAACCAGGCAGGCAGTGGCGAAGCTGAATTCGGAAGCAAAAAACAGCAGGAGTCGAAGCGATGCTGAACAGAACTGTCTCTGTCTTCGAGCAACCTGAAGACACTCAATCCGATCCCATCCCAAGCTCTAGAATATCCAGTCCTGCAGTCCCCCGCCATGAAATCATACATGGGCTGGCAACTGATGGCATGGTCTCCGTCTCTTGTCGCATGGTCGCTCGGCTAGGTGAGGTGTTGAAACCTCCGAAACAAATCCGAACCTTTCTTACTGACCTTTCCTGGATAACAAAGGCTTCGCGGTCTCCGAAGCTTAAAGATGCCGTCAACCAACGCACCCTCGATCTGGGACGAGGCACACGTGGACATCTGTCACGTTCCTAGGTTCGGAGCAGCTCATGCATGACTGAGGTCTCGCTCTCTCAGTCTCTGCCCTGCCCACGCAAAGAGCACGCAATGACTCACGCTTGTGGTACCGCAAAATCGAAGGCAGAATCCTCAAGCCTCAAACTGCTCAAATTCACACGACAAGAGTCGTGACGTCAGCCCCCACTCCCTCCGTCGTCACATTCGGCCACGCATATGGGTTACCTGGCAGAAGCACCAAGTGAAACAAGTTGACTGAAGAGGCTAGTTATCCGTGCAGTACAGGAGTAAACTCTGAAAAGACACTTTGCCGCCATGTGGTGACTTGGCCGGTAACGGTCCCGCATCCCGCCTGGCACTGGCAAAGCCAATAAGACAGACGATGACGACACTCAGCACGACAAGCAGCAGCAGCAACAACAGCAGCAGCAGGAACAGCAGCATCATCAGACTGTACTTTGACGGCATTGCAGTGATGTGTTGCTGGGGATATAGTGGCGCCTGGCCGTCAATTTCCGAAAGTGGACCCGTGCTGAATCCTGCGAAGGCATGACGAGGCTTCGAACACACTCCACCCCGCTTCCCGGTTCCAATGTCCTGCCACGGACATGCCCTGACGCACGGCATCGTGGAGGCTCACCTCTCTGACGGCGACCTCGAGCCCTCGGATCCGTAGCCGCGGTCAGAGGACTAATCCGGCATTGCTTGTAGAACCGAAACATCAAGCTGGTCTTCGCACGCCTTGCGCAAGCCTGTCTGATTAGGGAATGGGCGCAAATTCGCGCAACCCCATCTGTCAGCATCTATTGAGGTGTAGCCTTCATTCTTGACATGTTTAATTCTTTTGCTGCGAGTGCACATTGCCCCTGAAAGTATTCGTGTTTAGACGAAACATGCAGCCATCAACCCCGCGGACAATTCCCAAGAGCCGGAACCTCCACACTGAGCCGAAGGGCCTTTCCCGTCTGAGAGGTGGTCCAGGGACTGGACGCGTTTCTCGCTTGAGCCGGGGACAGCAACCAGCACTGCATCGCCGCATTTGGCCAGAAGCTCCCGCAACTCGTCCGTGCGAAGCCACGCCTAGCATGCAACACTGAGCGCCTGAGAGAGCGACCGTTAGAGTTAGAGCCCACCCGCCTCTTGGTCGTAGACGATCTTGATAAGCAGCAGTGCCTCCAAGAGGTAGTCCAGACCAGTTGTCGGTGACACGATCGATGCCTTGCGGCTTCTCGAAGCGGCTTGCGCGAACCACTGGGCAAACTGCCCTTTGTTGGGCGGCTAAGCGATGCCAAGGGACAAACAGAGCCGCCAGAAACTGGGAAACACGTGCGGCGGCATCGGGCACAGCTTCCTTAAGCAGTTCCACAACCTCAGTGAGACCGGAGGTCATATCATGACTCTCTACCGTGTGCCGCACAAGCCTAGTGTGTCGAGGTGCAACGGCGTTGACTTGCGACAGCGCCGAGTCGGACCTGGAAAGACAGGCAAAGAAGGATACAATGCGAGCAGATCCTCGTGATGCTGCAGTCACTGCGTCGACTGGTCTCTCATGAACGAGTTGTCTAAGGGTGGAGCTTTAGTTCGGTCCTGTTTTTTGGGGTGGTCCCTTGTTTTGGCTCCCACGTCCTGTTATTTACACAGGATGCTGGCTGCATGTGTCGCCCCGCTGTGGTGCCGTGCACAATTTTGGCTGGTTTGATTTTTGGGCGTTGTCGTTGTCATTGTAGTTGTAACTGTCGTTGAATTCGAAAACCTAATGTAGTTGAAGCTAAACTCCTACAAGTTTTCTCTCTCGCATGGCTGGCAACTCCTACAAGTAGTTGTCGTGGTCGTTGTAGCTGTTGTTGTTGTGGTTGTTCTTGTTGTGTTTGTGGTTGCGGTTGTGGTTGTGTTGGTGTTGTTTCTGCGTGGTGGTGGTGGTGGTGGTGGTGGTGGTGGTGGTGGTGGTGGTGGTGGTGGTGGTGGTGGTGGTGGTGGTGGTGGTGGTGGTGGTGGTGGTGGTGGTGGTGGTGGTGGTGGTGGTGGTGGTGGTGGTGGTGGTGGTGGTGGTGGTGGTGGTGGTGGTGGTGGTGGTGGTGGTGGTGGTGGTGGTGGTGGTGGGGTGGTGGTGGTGGTGGTGGTGGTGGTGGTGTTTGTGTTGGTGCTGTTGGGGTTGGTGATGTTGTTGTTGCTGTTGAAGTTGTAGTAGTTCTTGTTGTTGTGGGTTGCGGTTGTAGTTGTCGTTGTACGCTAGTTGTAGATGTTGTTGATACTGATATTGTCATTGTCGTGCTTGTGTTGTTGCTGTTGCTCGTGTTGTTGTTGTTGTTGTTGTTGTTGTTGTTGTTGTTGCTGTTGTTGCTGTGGTGGGTGTGATTGTTGTGGTTGTTGCTGTTGCTGTTGCTGTTGCTGTGCCGGTTGCTGTTGCTGTTGGGGTTGGGGTTGGGGTTGTGGTTGTGGTTGTGGCTGTGGCTGTGGCTGTTGTTGTGTTGTTGTTGTTGTTGTTCTTGTTCTTGTTGCTGTTGCTGTTGCTGGTGTTGTCGTTGTTGTTGTGGTTGTGGTTGTAGTGGTTGTTGTTGTTGTTGTTGTTGTTGCTGTATCCTGTTGAAACAAGACAACTTGGACTAACTTGGACTAGGATTTGTCAATTGAGCTCCATGACGAAGACCCAATCAGCTTGAAACTGTCGTTGCTCTGTTTCGCACCCAGCCGCTTACATCAGCAGTCATTGAAAGCATCTTTGGTACCGACTGCCGACTTATGAATCCAAACAAGCTCGTCAGGAACCTGACTTCGCCTGGGTTTGGTTCGGGTCCGACCATCAGAATCACCGATGCTACGTCAATTTATCATTTACTTTGCACTCTTGTATTTCTACGCTTATATGTATATGTACAAATTCATATACATACGCATCCTTCCTTCCTTCCAGGGTTCTCCATTCGTTCCGCTTTATCTTCCTTCCTTCCTGTCTTGCTTCCTTTTGTTCTCCTTCCTTCCTTCCTTTCCTCCGTCCTCTCTTCCTTGCTTATTCCTTGTTCCTGGCATTCCTTCCTTCTTGCCTTCCTTCCGTCCAGGGTTCTCCGTTCGTTCCTTTCTTTCTTCTTGTCGTTCTTGCTTCCTTTTTTCCTCCTTCCTTCCTTCCTTCCCTCCTTCCTTCCCTCCTTCCTTCCTTTGTTTCTTCCAGCATTCCTTTCTTCCTTCCTTCATTGCCTTCGAAGGACCCCTCCAGAAAAAAAAAGCACCGAAAAAATACGCCCTCCGTTGTTTATACAGTTCTGCCGCTTATGCCTTCTGCCCTTATGCCGCATGCCGCACGAGGCGCGTGTCCAAGGTCATCAAGGCGGCGACGAGCGCCGCCACCTGGGGGAAGCTGCCCGGAGAGAACTCGAGTGCTGACTCGGCCCTCTCGGCCCTCTGTCTGAACACCTGGCGGCCCTGGCCTCCTCGCTAAGGTCATCCGACTTCGTGAACGCGGACGCGGCCAGTGTGTTCAGAATGTTCTGCGCGTCCCCAAGTCGTAGTGCAGAGTTGAGGGCCACAGCAGCCACCGAAGCAGCATCGCTTGGCACCTGGACCAAGGGGCCCACGAACCAGGAACTCGAGACCTGGGCGGCAAGGTACTTGAGAATCCAAGATTCCCGAGAGACGTACAACATCCACGGCGCAGCGGAAGCGACTCAGTCCGGAGCCGCTCCAAGCCCATCCTCTGCCACTACACCAAGCATGTGCTCCCCTGGTGGGAGCGCAACCCGCAGCGAAGAGGCATCGGATGCCTCTGCCAGGAAGATGCCTCCCAGCTTGCTCCAGAAGTTCGCGCTGCTCTTGTTGCGCCAGTCGACAGAAGGCCGACTCCAGGCACCGCTCACCGAGAAACCTCACGAAAAAGAAAAACGAGCTCTCTGTCTCTCTGAGTCTCTGTCTCGCTTCCAGGATTCTCTCTAAAAGGTTCTCCTGCTCTGCTCCTGCTTTATGAGCACCTACACAGCTTGGTTTTCCTTGCTGTTCTTGGCCTTGGCGGTCCAAGGACAACAGTTTGGGTTGCTCTGTGGCATGCTGCGAAGGTCTTCGAAAGTAAAGGTTGCGTTTGTTTCTTCGAGCTGGCTGGAGCATAACACGAAGGAAAGCGGTGCCGACGCTGGGCTCGTGAGCAAGAAGATCCAAGGAACTGCCGGAATTGGCGACCAAACTCACATCAGGCGGCAAGGGAAAACGGTAGAATCTGTAGACTAAGCCTGAGTTCGGGAGGTCCTCGTCGAACCAACCGGACGTGGCGAGGAGGAACTCCGTTTCAATTCCAGTCCCAACGCTTGGCAGGGTTGTGACGTATCCACCGGTCGGGGCACCATCTGCGAGGAAGGGCACCGAGCGCGCAAAGCGCAAGCCCCTCGTCGCAGCCTCGGCCAAGTCGGCCAAGGACCCAGCAGCCGAAGACTCGAGGAGCGCCACTGCGTAGACGTCTCCGGGCACCAGGAAACCCGAGGCCGGGAGGCCAAGAGCTGCTACGGAGATCTCCCCCGGAAGGGTGAGATTCCTGACGCTGGTATCCAAATACAGCAAGATCTTGAAGGGGCTGACATTGGACACCAAGGCCCAAACCCATTCCACGTCAGCAGACATGCCACAAGCGTCGCTGACCAGGACTGTGGCTGTGAACTCCGGAACCTCGCCCAGCAGCTGTCCCGAGATCGGCTGATTGGCGTACCACGGCACGGACACTGTAATTGGCACTGCAGATGCCGGCAAGACCTGCACCATCCAAGAGGCAATCTCAAAAGATGCACGGTCGCTGGCACGAATTACCGTTACGTTGAAAGTGTACAGGTCTTCCACCAGCTGCCCGGCTGAGATTCGTAGAGCTTCACCGGATGCCCCCGAGCCGTCAGTGTTCGTCCAGGTGACCGTGCGGAAGTTGGAAAGCGAATGGCAGTTGAAGGCTGTACTGTTCGCAGCACATGACCAGAAGTACTGCGGATCGCTTTCATGATCTGGGTCGAAAGACTGCGATGCATCCAGAACCTGGCTCTCACAATCTCTCACAGATGTGTGCACGGGAAGTTTGATTTTGCTACTGCACCTTCAAGCTTAGAGAAGCACACACACACACACACACACACACACACGTTCTGCATGCCAAAGCACAAGCTCGCAGGTTTCTGGCAGAAGGGATGGCCCGGTTACCACGGGCACCATTGGTGCAGCCGCTGCTACATCAAGCTGAAACACCTGAGTGCCGAAAGAAGTCACATCGGGGAGAATACGATCTTGCCGGACTCCCGTAAACCCAGATCCTAATTTAATGTACTCTCCTTCATTCACACCGCCGCCGGAAGCTGCAAAACCAACTAGGAAAGCGTTTTCGGAGAGCCATGCAGCATGCTGTCGCACTTGCGTTGGGCTAAAGGCTGCATTGACACGAAGCTGGTGCGAGGAACCCGGCGAAAAGCTGAAGGGAGCAAAGCGGAGCATCCAAGGAGTGATAAGGTTCTCCTGGAGCGAAGCCTGCCACCAACTCGAGAGCTCTCTGCCCAACAAACAACCCGACTTCGACTCACATGTCCCTTTCTTTTCAGAAACAGGCCAGGCCACGTTCTCCAGGGAGAGCCATGGGCCGGAGCCAGACCGATATTCCCAGCTCATGCTCACATTCGCCGAAGAAGCCTCAAGGACAAAAGGAAAACAAACGCAGGTTGTCAACGGGGCTTCACACTTCGACGGTATCGCGCGCTTGCGGCCAAGCGGCCGTAGTGCAGCTCGCTGCCTGTGCGTACCTGACAAGATCACCAGCAATCTCAGATGCTCTCAGACTCTTCAAGGGTCTCATTCGCTGACGGTGGCCTGGCCAAAGCATTGAAGGTGACCGACTGATTGGTGCGGATGGACTTGCTGGGTGAAGCCTCCAAGACTGGGAGCTGCACCTCTGACAAATCAACCTCCAGCATCGCCTCAGTGGTGATGGCGCGGCGCCGCCACGCATGTCAACTCTACTAGGCCCTCCTTGACCGGCCGAGTCACCGAAGTCTCACTCGTGAGGCCAAGCCAGTTCGTGACGGCGAGAACCACTTCGACATGCACCATCGTGAGCGAAGCATTCGCCACTACAGCAGCGTCGACAGCGCTGGCGATGCTGGTCGCTGGCAGCGTAAAGCTTAAGGTCCCATTCTGTGCTGCCAACAGGTCCTGGCAAGGCTTCGCGTGTAGCTGAAACCATCGGCATCAGCAAACCCTGTGGCGGACGGGGGCTGGCGGCCAAACCTTGCGATGGGTTCTGAAGGCTCTTATCCTGCAAGTTAGCTTTTGATGTCCTGGATCACCTGTCCAGCTTGAAGCTGGCTGCCTGCACCAGTTCGCCACTCCGCTTGAAGCGGCCGCCCAGCACCGCCGCTGGAGAGGGAAGCATCCACCGCTACATCCACGAGCCCACAGCGCTGCACCTTCCAAGTGCCGGCAGGCTTTTAACCAATGCGCTGAAGCCAGCTACGTTCGTAAACATGCCACGTGCAACCATGAACCTGTGCCGGCAACAGCTTCAGTGATGCCACAGCTTCTGGCCGGTCCGACGAGTTGACCGTTGCCTGCAGTGCCTGAGAACTCAGTTCATCAAGGGTCAAAGATCCGCAACGTCACAAAAACCCACTCGTCCAAGGAGCAGATCCTACAGCAGGAAGAAGCTCGATCACGTCGCCCAGCTCCAGCGTGGGTTGGTGCCCCAGCATCACCTGTGCGTGATTACAGCTGCATGGCCAAACAACCACAGGACGCCGCTGATAATGGTGCCTGAAATGCCAGGCCACCCAATAGCCACTGACACTGTGGCGCAGTGCCCATCCTGCATGAAGTCTGGGCCAACATCGAAAAAATGCTCATGCCATGCATCCATGGAAGATGCAATTTCAGCGCCCGTGACTGCCACAATGCTGCAACCAAAAGTCTTCTGCAATGATGCTCCAGGCAGCACAGCATCGCAGTCAGACAAAGCGGAGACATTAACCTTGCAAAAAACAAGGTGAAAAGACATCAGGAAGAAATTCCAGTGCCGAAAGTCTTGGCTAGAGTGCTAAGTCGAAGGAGAGTTTTATGAGCGCATCAAAACAATCATTCGCTTCAGCTCTCCCGAATCCCAATTGCTGGTCCCAGTGACATTTTCCGTGAATCGGAACACGAGGGTTGTAAAGCCGCGCGCGAACTCTGCAGATTCAAGGCCCAACGCATCAGCCTGCAAAGTCCTGCAAGCTCTGGGTGAAAGGTTACGTGTAGTGTTTCGACTTGCACACTCGCTCAAGGCAAGCACGGATCACACTCTGAGATTCAAGGATTACGAAGATAACGCATTAGATAACGATGCAAAGGTCAATGAAAGCTTCTTTAACTTTGGCCGGTCGGTTTGCCTCAGGCACCAGAGAATTGCTGTGATCCACTTGCCTGTGAGGCCGGCGACCCCTCTCATCGGCACCTGCTCCCAGAGCCAACATCAGAAACACTCTAAAGACGTACGATGTGCCGCAAGAGGGCAGGGCAGGTCGGCTAGCGCATGTGCGACAGGTATGGCAGCTGAGTGACCACCAGGCAAGGTCCGCAATGTTGACGGCCAACATGGAGGCGACAAAGCCCCTCTGGCGGATACTAAAACGCTTGAGCAAAGGTCAGAGGCAGAGCGGCTTCAGCCCGAGCCCAGCAATGCCCCTGAGAGAAAGCAAAATTTCCGAAAACGTCTGGGTTCGTCCTTCTACACGGGGCTCAAGACTTCACAACCCGAAATACGGAGAACTGAACTGTGATGTCCCCGCTAGTGGGATCCAATTCGGAGATAGTTGGGCGTGCTCGACCCTGCGAATGACTCTGCACAGGTTCCCTTTGACCGACTCCTGGGACCTGTGCTCTTCATGATGCGACCACAAGCCTGAAGCTGCTCGATGGAGCACCCGCCCGCATCTTTTTTTTCGTTGCACAGCGGTCAGATCATTTCCTCGGAGAGAGCTGCACCTGGGCGGCCGTTCTCGAGGGAGGAGGCTCACACTTGGGAGGGCTGCGACTTAATCTCGGGGAATCGTCCGAGCTGCTGAATCTGACTTCTGTCAGGCAGGAGCTTCCCGAGGAGTCGAGGCATTCTGCTCACCTAGAGACAAGAAGCCCCGACTTCAAGCGAACCACCAGCCCCCCGCCCCTGTATTGCTCCGAGGGGCTATCTGATGAGCCTTGGGGCATTCATGCGGCAACAGTGAAGTGAAGTGAAGCTTCAGAACGTGGAATTGGACTCGTCAGACTCTCGATGCGGCCGCAGCAACTTCTCGGAGGAAGATCATCGTCATCCACACCTGATATCAGAGTACCACAGGTGGCAGGGGCAGCGCTGCTTCGCTTGTTCTCTCGAATAGTGTGCTGATCCTTTCCGCTCGACTATCCTTAACTTGATGCTGCAAGTTCCGAAAACGTGTGCTTTCACATGCTTCGGACAGCAGTTTCGAATCTCACGCTCGCCAGATTAGTACGATGGAGTATGCCACATCGTCCTTTACAGTTTGCAAGTGCCGATGCTACGCTGTGGAAGGTCTTGGTCATCTGGGGTGGGCACCGGTCAGACACGCTAAGCTAGCGATGAATTGTGAATCGCGGGCTTTGTCAAGCTGCATAGGACTTATGATGACCCCTTCCCTCGAAACTAGCACCCTCATGAATCAAGCGCTGCGATGCACCTTCAGGCACTCCCGGTGGTTGGAGTGGCTGTTGCTTGGGCAAAGGCATCGCCAACCTGGGAGTTAGAGACAAAACCCCCAGGCCCCTCCCAGTTCGGCTTGTACGTCCAAGCTGCTGCGCTCCTGGCCTCACGGTAACCGACGGTGGCACGAGCGGGACGCGCGGGCGGTCGCCACGCGTCATCACTGGTGGAGTCACTGGCTTGTCGAGCCTGCCACTGGGTCGGGGAGGTGGCAAAGACGGCTGGGCTGGTGGGGAAGAGAGCGGAGGTGGTCCCAGGACGCGATGTTCGCTTGGTGCTGGTGGCACGATGGGCTGCCTCGGCCGGTCTCCCTGCGGTATCGGCGGTGGTGGAGGCCGCGGCACGTCAGTGGACTTCGCCTCAGTGCACAACACAAACAAAATGGAGCCAAGAGGGCAATCCTACAGTAGCTGCTACAGTAGGCTTTTAAACCCGACTTCTGCCGCCCGTCTGCAAGGCAAGGCACTGGTGGAATGGATGCAAAGCTGGGGCGATGTGAGAGCTGATTCCACTCGTGGGGATCGTTCTCGCGGAATGGTATTGGTGGTGGGCTTGGTCTGCCATCGCTCCCGCTCGTAATGCTCGGAGGCCGAGGTGGCGGCAAAGGCAGGGTGCTCTGCGCCGGTGCGGAGCGGCGGGGTGGGGGAGGTGGAGGTATTCCCTTGGCCTGCGTTGGGCTTGGTGGCCTGCAGAGGGCAAAGTCACTGGCCCAATCAGAAAAGGCCTGGTCTACTCGCACGTCAATGCGCTCAGCGTTCTCTAGCATGGGTGGTGGGAGAGGTGGTGTTGTGGACTTTTGAAGGCTCGGCCGTCTTTGGGACCACGGGGGTGCCGGAGGGTTGACGTCTGCAATCGATGGACGCTTCGGAGGCGGTGGAGGTGGCGTCTTGGGCATGACAGGAACATCTGCGACCGCATTCGGAACACCGGACCCAATGATATCACTGAGTTCCTGGGCAAAGGATTGAAAATACTCCTCCTTCTCATCCGATTGCTTTGCCACGGGGAAGTGTGGCCTTGGAATGCTTGGAGGTGTCCCGGCCACTGACTGGCCGAATCCGAAGGAGCTGCCACGGGGCAAATCCGGTTGCGAAGCAGACTGTGCCAAATCTCGTGCCCAATCCCAGAAGTGCTCCTGTGCGTCACGCTGGGCATGTGGACCTGGCTGAATCTCCTCAACTGGCCCCGGTTTCGCAGACGGCTCTGCTTCCCAGGCGCGTGTGGGCCCTGTGCTTGGTGGCTCGAAGGGCTGCACCCGAATCTTCGCCTTCTGCACTGACTCTGCCATCCACTTGCAAGAGGCTTTGGTGTCGATATTCACCTTCAAGTTCACATTTCCTGCATACGCCTGCCAGGCGCATAACCCGATCACGACCACGAAGGCAATTGAGGCGACTGAAGTTCCAAACACCATGCCCGTGTCTGAAGGTTCAGGCTGTTTTTTCAAGGGGGGTGTGGTCGACGTCATGGTCGAAGTGGCTGAGACCGTCGAAGTCGAGCTGGAGGTCGCCGTTGCGAGCGGCACTGGTAAGTAGATGCCAGCATAAGCACCACCCAATGTTGTGGCGAGGCAGTCAACTGTAGTGGCTGTGTAGCTGGTGGGTAGGAACCAGGACGTGACGCTCGTCGACCAGCCTTGGTCATGATGCATTGCCTCCGGGCAGCCACAATGTAACATCCACTGTCGCCGATTCGCGTGGACATGTGGGGGGTTGCTGAGACACTACTACTTGGAGGCTCATGGGGGGGTTCAGGTTACAAGTGGAGTTGTAAGTAGGGTAACCATAATAATGACCCATATTAGGGGACATATAACACGCATGAACCTCCAAGTACAAAGCAGCACTGACTTCCTGTGGCCTCCTTTTTGTGACCGCCTCCCTCGCTCATTTGTGATTGTGTTTTCCTATCTCGCACACCACCGTAGCTTACAACGCAAAAGTTGGGTTTGCAGGAGGTGTTTGGGGCTTGTGCTCGGCTTGCCACTTCCAAGACCCGCAAAGTCCACACACGATCGTGACTCTGCCAGAGCTTTCTGCAACTCTACATTTCAGATGAGAACCTCTAACATCCTCTAACGCCACGGATGGCCACGGATGTCGTGTTGCCTTGGCCTACCATGCTTCGGACGTCCAGAACTCGCGATTGCCCCAGCCACCGACAGCAACCTAACAGTGCCCGAAATTGGGTGCAGCCAAACTTGCCAAAAGCAAGTCGTGTGATCCCACAACTTCGTTGCCCACATTCACACCGACTCTTGACCTCTTGACCCACAGATTCAACATGTGAATCTCCCACCAGGTCTCCACCATTCGAATACCGACTGGCCCGTTTGCAACTGTTGGTCTTCGACAAACAAATCCCTGTTGGGCCGTGGTCTCTTTGAACACCCCCGCCTGCCCGAGCGGGTCCAACCTTGCACAGACAGCCTCGAAGACGTAGCCGTCTGGATAGGCTCCCGGATCTGGAGCTGAGGGCCTTCAGTTTCGACGAGATCTTCAGCTGCCGGGCAGCAAAGACATCCCTAGCCGGCCAAGCTACAGCTGCAAAGTCATCGCGATGGGTTCCGCCAAGTTCGGGACAGTCACTAAGGTGTCGCATTGCTTGAGTTCCAACACTTTCACGGTCGCAGCTGCTGGAACGTAGCGATTGATACCAAAGCCTGCAGAGCAACGACACTGGCCCCTGCATTTGAAAGCTTGAATGTCGGAAAAAATTGTCGACTAATTTCCTTGCAGCTGAGCCGCTAGTGTTGAGATATCCGAATGGGTTGCCTCAGGTAAATGCGTGGCTTCAAGACTTCGAATCGACAGAAGGATTGCAGCACCTGCCAAGCTGCTCTGCACCCAATCAGTCTGCTGGACAGCCAGAGTGGTGCAGCCACTTTGAAGTCGTCGGCCGCTGAGGCCACTCAAAGCGTTGCCGGGGATCTGGCACGGCAAAGGCACACATGTCAAGCGATCCGAGGCGCACGGACTCGCAGGCTACTCTGAGCTTAGCCCACCTGCAAGCCCTCGCCAGTAATCCCATTTTCAACAGCTGCGCCGATGTCCTCCTTCTGGACATTGATTTCCTGAAGCCAAGTGTCGGTTCCACATTATGTGGAGCTCCGCTTGCACGTTTTTCTCCAGCTGAGTCCGAGCTGCGAGGCCCTTCCCAGTGTCATCCACGGAGCTCAGCGTGGTCGAGCCACCCACGGGCGTCGTCGCCAGCGCAGCGCTGCCCAATTGCGAGGTCTGGGCAAACCCAAGGCCATGGTTTGAGTCAACTCAAGCGAAGGGCTCCGGGTTGCTGAGGCGAGGGCCATGACCTCAAGCTTTGCTGCACGGCTGGCGGCGGCAGCTTCTGCTTGGCCCGTCTGCACTGCGGCATAGCTGTCTCCCACAGCAGAGATGGAGCTGAGCAAGGCATTGCCAGCAGCCACATCCACACCTGCACAGCCGTCGCGCGCGAGCGCTTCGAAACAGTGAACACGCCCTTCTTGACAGTTGCCGCATCCCGCGCATGCAGAGACCAAGGCCTGTTGCGCCCAGTGCTGCCTCGGTCATTTAATGCAAGACCAGGAACCACCCTCCCTCTCACTCTGGTGCGAAGTCAAGGTCAAGACCTGAAAACACTGTCAATGAGGTTCAAGGAGAATGAAACCAGACGGGGTTTAATCGCGCTTGAGCTGCTTCAAGCACGTTGGTAAGCGCATCGGAAGCTTGGTCAGCCGATGCAGCATCCGCAGT